CTTCGTGCTGTGGGAGAGGTGAGCCAAGGGACTAAGGGAGTGTGTCCCTTATCCCCCCCCCCCCCCCACACCCGTGAGACTTTATGTTGGACAACACACATCTAACCTTGAACGGAGGTTACCGATACGCATGTTGGCTTTAAAAAGATTCTACGACGGACGAATAAGAACGCTCCAAAACTGGGACGCGTTTGAAAATAACGCGGAACAATGTCGGATGATAGTATCATGAAATATATTACCACATCACTGCATTCATCTCCGGCGCTGGGTAACATCGCCCGATCGAAAGTGTCCGCTGTGCCAACCAGATCCTAAACCGTGTCCTGTATTTGTTTCAGTCGCGCCATTGGGCAATACCTGGTGTCAAAGTACGCACCACAAAGCACTCTGATCCCGACCGACCTTCAGCAGAAAGCGCTCTACGATCAGCGTTTGTTCTTCGACTACGCCATGCTCCAAAACTTCTCCAAAACGGTGAGACCCAGTAAGCGGTCGTAGCAAGTGGTTTCTACCCGATTACCTATGTTTGTTCCCTTCCAAGGCGGAAGGTTTCACTGTTACAAAACATGCGTAATTCTATCTAATTGAGATACACCGGCGGATCACTGCAGCTCCCTTCACCGCTTGCCGCAGCAATCAGCTGGACAGGAGCCTCGCCCAGCGTTCCGACTCAGTAAAGGGCCTGATCACACCGACAGCCCCGAGCCCACGGGCTACGGCGACGACAGCGACAAACGGCCACGCCCTACGCTGGTCCCCCCCCCCCCCCCCGGACGAATGTCCGACCAGCAGTACACAGTCACCACGGCGGGCGCTCCGGACGCGTGGCTTCACGCGTGCACCACAGAGCGGAGACGCGACCTCGAGATCCGGCACTGTCTGTAGATCGGGCGGCAGGGACGCTCGGTGACGCCCCTCTTACGTGGCGCGGCGTGGTACTGCTGATGTGCAGATGCGCGCGTCTGCGACTAGCGGCGCCGCCGACTGTGGCACGCACTGACGACTCAGTATATGCCCCCAGCAGGCGTAACAGTGTCCCAAAATTAAGCTTTACGAGGGAAGTGATTCTCATGAAAGCTAACCATGGCAAAGTCTCTCCTTCCAGTATTCAGCATTATTTTTGAACTTTGTAACAGTGAAAGCCTTAAAACTAGACCTTTTCCTCCATTTGGCGCGAAGAAAAACAATAAACTGATACCTTCACTACCACCCACTGCTTTTGCCCCACACGTGCCATAGCAGTTTTCACAAATTACTTTCTTCACTCGAACGACCTCTCCCATGCCACCGCCTGTATTGGACACGATTCTCGAGCGAGATCGCGGCTGACAGACGGCGTCGGCCGCTGCCTCAGTTGCAGCTGACAGACGGCGTCGGCCGCTGCCTCAGATGCAGCTGACAGACGGCGTTAGCCGCTGCCTCAGATGCAGCTGACAGACGGCGTTAGCCGCTGCCTCAGATGCAGCTAACAGACGGCGTCGGCCGCTGCCTCAGATGCGGCTGACAGGCGGCGTCGGCTGCTGCCTCAGATGCAGCTGACAGACGGCGTCGGCCGCTGCCTCAGATCCGGCTGACAGACGGCGTCGGCCGCTGCCTCAGATGCGGCTGACAGACGGCGTCGGCCGCTGCCTCAGATCCGGTTGACAGACGGCGTCGGCCGCTGCCTCAGATCCGGCTGACGGACGGCGTCGGCCGCTGCCTCAGATGCAGCTGACAGACGGCGTCGGGCGCTGCCTCAGATCCGGCTGACAGACGGCGTCGGCCGCTGCCTCAGATCCGGTTGACAGACGGCGTCGGCCGCTGCCTCAGATGCAGCTGACAGACGGCGTCGGCCGCTGCCTCAGATCCGGTTGACAGACGGCGTCGGCCGCTGCCTCAGATCCGGCTGACAGACGGCGTCGGCCGCTGCCTCAGATGCAGCTGACAGACGGCGTCGGCCGCTGCCTCAGATCCGGTTGACAGACGGCGTCGGCCGCTGCCTCAGATCCGGCTGACAGACGGCGTCGGCCGCTGCCTCAGATGCAGCTGACAGACGGCGTCGGCCGCTGCCTCAGATGCAGCTGACAGACGGCGTCGGCCGCTGCCTCAGATGCAGCTGACAGACGGCGTCGGCCGCTGCCTCAGATCCGGCTGACAGACGGCGTCGGCCGCTGCCTCAGATCCGGCTGACAGACGGCGTCGGCCGCTGCCTCAGATCCGGCTGACAGACGGCGTCGGCCGCTGCCTCAGATCCGGCTGACAGACGGCGTCGGCCCGCTGCCTCAGATGCAGCTGACAGACGGCGTCGGTCGCTGCCTCAGTTGCAGCTGACAGACGGCGTCGGTCGCTGCCTCAGTTGCAGCTGACAGACGGCGTCGGCCGCTGCCTCAGATCCGGCTGACAGACGGCGTCGGCGCTGCCTCAGATCCGGCTGACAGACGGCGTCGGCCGCTGCCTCAGATGCAGCTGACAGGCGGCGTCGGCCGCTACCTCAGATACGGCTGACAGACGGCGTCGGCCGCTGCCTCAGATCCGGCTGACAGACGGCGTCGGCCGCTGCCTCAGATCCGGCTGACAGACGGCGTCGGCCGCTGCCTCAGATCCGGCTGACAGACGGCGTCGGCCGCTGCCTCAGATGCGGCGGATATTCGTCGGCGGGACGCGGTTCGAGCCGAAGGACATCAAACAGTGCCGCACCTCGCTCCAGCTGCTGGACCAGTTCCTCTCGCAGTCGACGTACGTGGCCGGCGAGCGCATCACGCTCGTGGACTACACGGCGGCGGCCTCCGTCATCACGTGCCAGGTGAGGCGTGGGGCCCACTCTCGGCCGTATTGGGCACGGCAGAGCAGGGCTCGCGGCGAGACCGATGGTGGCGTCACGCGGGCCGCGAGCCGCGGCGGGACACGTTAGGTGGCGCAGCGAAGGGCTGTCTGGCCCGTCAGCACGGGCCATGTCAGCACGCGTTGGATAGAGCAGAGATCACGACTGCTGGACACCGTATAGGGCACAGGGCAGAATATGGGATTGCTGGGCACGTCACCTTACGTTGGTTAGGGCAGGCTGACCTATGTTGGTTGGTGAGGCCGTGATGACCCGGCAGCAGTCCTGCTGACGGGTCATCACAGACCACGTCAGCATATGTTGGTTAGGGCGGGACGCAGTCCTATTGGCGGGTTATCACAGACCACGTCAGCATATGTTGGTTAGGGCAGGACACAGTCCTTCTGGCGGGTCATCACAGACCACGTCAGCACACCTTGGTTAAGGCAGGACGCAGGACTCCGGCCGGTCATCATAGACCACGTCAGCACACGTTGGGTAGGGCAGGCCGCAGTCCTTCTGGCGGGTTATCACAGACCACGTCAGCACACCTTGGTTAAGGCAGGACGCAGGACTGCTGGCGGGTCATCACAGACCACATCAGCATACATTGGCTAGGGCAGGACGTGGGACTGCTGGCGGGTCATCACAGACCACGTCAGCATACATTAGCTAGGGCGGACGGGGACTGCTGGCGGGTCATCACAGACCACATCAGCACACCTTGGTTAAGGGACGCAGGACTGCTGACTGGTCATCACAGACCACGTCAGCATACATTGGCTAGGGCAGGACGCGGGACTGCTGGCGGGTCATCACAGACCACATCAGCATACATTGGCTAGGGCAGGACGTGGGACTGCTGGCGGGTCATCACAGACCACGTCAGCACACCTTGGTTAAGGCAGGACGCAGGACTGCTGGTGGGTCATCACGGACCACTTCAGCATACATTGGCTAGGGCAGGACGGGCGGGATGCTGCGGGTCATCACAGACCACTTCAGCATACATTGGCTAGGGCAGGACGCGGGACTGCTGGCGGGTCATCATCACAGACCACATCAGCACTTGCCCGATCTGATGGGAGGCAGGACGGCTTGGCTCGTTGCCATAGGCTATGTCAGCACATGGACAGAATGTTGCACATATACACGCCGGGGATCTAAGCAAATTATTACACGTCGTGTCAGGGTGCGTTGGGCACGGCAGGGTCCAGAACTGCCGGGCATGTACAACAGAACCCATCACCGCGTGAGGGGGGCTGGTAACTGCCGAGGGAGAGTAACTAACCACGCCACAGCGCGGGTCAGGGACACCACGTGACAAGGGGTGGATGCCACGACTGCCGGGGAGGAGTAACTAACCACGCCACAGCGCGGGTCAGAGACACACGTGACGGGGGGTGGATGCCACGACTGCCGATCGGGAGTAACTAACCACGCCACAGCGCGGGTCAGGGACACCACGTGACAGGTGGGTGGATGCCACCGACTGCCGAGGGAGTAACTAACCACGTCACAGCGCATGCTACCGGTCATCGCGGCCAGAGGTGACATGGGTCGTCGGGTGTGCTGTGCATTTCATTGATCATCATCGCCCGGCGAGAGATGATTCAATGCAAACCCGATGCCCCTATGCACCGATGAAAGTATATTCACAAGTTAGTGTACCTTAATTAATTGCAGAATCACGCTAAATTGCAAAGGCAGTAATATTGTACTGCTGATAAAACGAAGGAATATCATGAAAATGCATGACACAACTAAATTATAAGCAATCAGATAACGGCAATGGTGATTGCGATAATGGTCCTGTCGGTGATGGGCACGTGGTGTTCCAATGGCACGGACAAGCGCGTGACATGTCGGCCCTCACCGTCCACAGCCGGAGATGGTCGACCTCTCGACCTACCCTCACGTGCAGCGCTGGCTCGCCAGGGTGCGCACCGAGATAGACGGTTTCGAAGAGATCAACGGACCCGGAGTCGAGATGATCGGCAACGTCATCGGTGCGGTGCTGTCATCTGACGGTGACTCTTCGAAACTTTAGTTGGACCGCAGCCCGCTGGTGGCGCCACCCGCAAAGCGATAGGGATGCCACCACAGCGATAGTTCGCTATCGCTAATCTATTGTGGCCCCACAGCGGCAGAAAAGGGCTCGATGATCAGTGGAGCGAAGGTCTCAGCATGCCGACTAAGACTATTTGCAGATGTTGGGAATGGATGGTACAGTGGTTGTGTCATTCTGCCCCGCGCACGGTAGACGCATATCGGTAGAAATGACTCAAGTGCGTGTATAATTGTTAACCTCGGTCGTCCCATACGCCTGAGCTCGCGTTCACTGCAATAAACACATCGGGACTGCAGTAAACCCCCACTGCCTGATGCAGTAAATGGGGTTATCGGGCGCTTGGACTGCGCGGTCCTATAGCGCCCTTCACTGGCTCTCGCATGGCGACATCGGTGCTGCCTGACACAGCAAGGCGGCAGAACAATGCGCTGACGGTCTCGGCTGCGGGCCGCGACCGGCGACCGGCCGCTCACCTGCTTCTGCTCCTCGGGGCTACCGGTGGGCGGCACGCTGGGAAAGTTGCGGTTCAAGCCCCGAATCTCGTTCTCCATCTCGCGCGCCACGCGCTTGGCGTTGATGTGGTCGCGCGTGTACTCCATGCTCATCTTCTCGGCGATGATTGGGTTGATGCTGTTCTCGAACGTCATGTAGTCCTTCCAGAGGATTTCCACGTTGTTCATGGGCGTCACGACACCGCGCTGGTACACCTGCGGCAGAAGGCGGAACTTATGCTTCACGATGCGCACGGTAGAGGGCTGGGTTTCATTTACAGCACCTGGTGCAGCAATGGGGTGAGGCGCAGCAGACGGCGGAACCGAAGTTTTATCAATTGCACCGCAGATATTGGTATTAATCACTCGAGCTGCCCCCCGGGCCAAGTACCGATCATCACGCATCATCGCTTTCTTGCGACAACCACACTCACACTCGGCTTCGCCAGACCCACAAGGTTCCTTGATAGATGAACGTCACGTCGGCGTTTCAACGAGCTGATCCGCAGTCGACTTTATCGGCCGAACTCCACGTCGAATCATGACCGTGACTTTATGTCGGCGACGCTGTGCAGCAAGCTTACCCCGAAGCCCAAGAGGTCTCTGCCGCCACTGAAATGCTCCTCCGCACATTCTGCCCTTCAAGTTAAAGATGGAAGTGAGGGAACTCTGCACACGCTCTTCCTGCTCTGAACCAGCTAGTGAAGCAGTTTGCAGCTTCCTCGCGCCCTTTCGTCACCACCGTTACCACCACCAAATAGGTAACTACGCCACCACTTACCACTAACTAGCCTCTTACTACGCCGCCTAGAACACTAACAACTAACGACGCCGCCACCACTGACGCCACAACTAACGACTACGCCCAGTGGGCAACTTCGAGATATATCAACAGCTTACTTAAAGGGACAACAGATACGTCAACCAACGTGGTAGGCAGATCACATCGGTCAGCCGTTTGTGGTATGCGACGCATTATCCGTGCCGATGTTTTTACCAAATAGATGATGCAGTTGTTATCTCGACCAGACTACCCGGGACCAGGTTACAGACCTGGGCAGCTGTGAAACGTCATTGCTGAAAACCGAATGGTTACCCTTGATAACCTAACCGCGAACGGGTATTTCACTGCTTTTCGTTACAAATATTCCGATGACGAAACAATCCCGGGTGGGTTATTTTCCCCAAACCTTGACTCGAAAACATTACAATTTGAATGTCAAATCTACAAAAGAAGATCACGGCTGTTCCTCATAATCATCCTTTTTACCTCTGATTTCTTCATCAAAATACGACACGTCATACTTATTCTGAGTGGAAAGCTCTGTGATTCGTGCTATCCTGGTGTCAAAGCACAAGGTCACAAAATAGAAGGGAACAGGTACCCAATGGCGGGAACCAAAAAGGAAATCCACCCTTATTCAACGCAAGTGAACAGTGCACATGTTCACATCTTTCTAAATGTTTTGTACAATCTATAGTCAACTGCGCTAAAACAGCACAGTTAGATTCGGAACATCATGACTCTGAGGTGCATTTTCCCTAAACTTGAGAAATATGGGTGCTAATGCTTTATTTTCACAGTGCATTTGCGGTAGAACCTCGACATACACGCCAAAATGTAGCCATGCCTAAGCAAAGTTATGCTCAATGCTTATGACTATCCCATTATTGCACTGTGATTTTGACCAGACCTAAAACCAGATACTGGTGTGGACTGACAATAACTGATGATTGTGCGTTGGATACTTCTTCGTGAGCATAATCAATATATTTGAAGCCTTTAAACCAAACCTCACCTGGTAGCATCGGTACGATACGTGACCTCTTTTCCAATGTTTTACTTGTCCTGTTGATAGCAGTCTCGATGAGGCTGCACGGAGCAATGCCGACTCGTTTTGCCATTAATCTCCCTAATATGAGCAAAGGCTTTCCCATTCGCATCATCTCGAAAACTTGTCCAAATAGCAGCCCATCTCACCTTCCTGATAGCCGAGATCTTCTGGTTCTCGGCGTACGAGCCGACAGCCTCTGCCGCCTTGAGGAAAGCCACGTACTCGCTCCACACGGGGAACGAGTGGTAGTCCAGGCCGATCTTGTCCAGGGCGAAGTCGTACGCCTGCGCCATTTTCTCTCTGCCGGCAGGCGGACAGCCGAATCAGCGTCATGAAGATGAAGGTGATGATGTTAATGATGCTACAGTGTACCGACAGCACAGATAGCAACGCCGTGATTAGTGATAGGTCATTTCTACGTAACACAATTAAGAAGACGATGAAAGTAGATTATAGCACAAACAATCATATAACACAACTGATCAAATGTTGCTAATCTAATTGCAATTCCGTTGCGGGAAAACGCCTCGAACAATTAAGGATACGAAGAAGCGCTGCTTTTAGCCATCATGGTCGTAGCGAAATATTCTCACGCGGTCGGTGAGCCTGAGGAGACGAGCAGGGCTCAGGACTAAGCCCGTGACCGCAAGGCCATGAGACGAACACTTCGCCTAAGCTTCGGAGAACCCTATCACAGGAAGCGTGCATGCATATCACATAGGTCAAGAGGGTCTGACGGGGCCCGTATCACGCAGAAGTACATACATCCGTATCGCAAACATGCGCATCACACAGCCAGAGGTACGTGCGAACTCAAAAATAGTATTCCGTGTGCCTAATCCCTTAAGTGGAGTGTCCCACCTTTGCATGGGGGTTTGAACTGAAATAGCCATATTGAAGGCCTTTTGATGGCGCTCACAGCCACGCCCTTTTCAGACCTAAAGCCCTAAGGTTCGTGAGCCGTAAAGATGTAGGAAAATAAGTCGGGGGAGCATTTGTAGGTCTTCTTGGCATTCATAACATCATCATAACGTCATTAAAACCATGCTATTGATTAAGCCATGCAGCCACCAAGGCCAAGACAAATATAATGGTCGAGTCATCCATATCTGGCGTTCATGAGTACGATTTCCAGATATAACGGTCCTCAATTGGCTCTCAATGAATATTGCACAAGGTACAATGAAGTAATCAAACAATGACGTACCTAGGAGCACATTTACTCAACAGCAAAATTGTCTTGCCTAGGGCAGTCCTTTCTACATAAAAGTATAACAATTATAAGTAAGCTAGTTTCAGCATATCTGATGCTTACTTCAATTTTTTCAAACGTGAAACATTCCCTTTTAAGGGAGTGCTCCACAATTGTATGGCGTTTTAAACTGAGATAACCATTTTGATGAGCACTCGGCGCAATCCACAATCCTGCCCTTCTAAACACCTAAAATCCTATAATTTAAGAGCTGCACGCTCCCGAAAATGTGCAGTCTTTTTCGTGCAAACTATATAAAAACCATTCACGCACGCATGACGCCATAGCACCGCCATACAAATCCTGCCACGCCCATAGGTCATACGTCGATGAAGGCCAAGGAGACGCTATTGCTCAGCCGATCAGATATGGCGTCCATTATCACGATTTCCAAACCTGAGGGACGTCAATTGTCTTTTCATACCACTAGGTTTGGTTGTATGACCACGTTTAGTTGGACATGGCTGCTTGTTACTACGGAAATAAGATTTGCTTTCGAATTATTTACGAAAAACGCCATAATCAAGTATGTGAATATGAGTGAACTTCTTAACCTCATGAGTAAACATGCAACAGCACCATACAAGTGGGCCACAACACGAGCGCATAACGAGATTTGACTGAATATCTCCAGCACTGCTATCTCTCGGGAGTTGAAGTACTATGCGTCAGTGCTATGGTGGCAATTTCGCACAGCTGGTTCGGCAGCATCTGAACATCAACCAGCCCATGGCGCCATTAAACAATAACGTGTTCAGGAGCACATTCATTAAAAAGAGGAATTGCGTCGTTGAGAGGAGCATTTTCCTCTTGAAAGTGCACCAACAAAATACGTGAGCTTATCATATCTAACACTTCCTTCAAAATCTTCAAAGGTGGAACATTTCCTTTATCCGAGGGATAAACTTGTGTACGCTACCACAAAATCCCTCTGCAACGAACACACGAAACTCGTTATCACCGCACTTAGCCCTAGAAAGTGCGCCTAGGTCACCATGGCAAAAAACAAGAACCGTCAAGGCAGCGGGCCGCACAAGTTCACATGGAACACGTCCGTCTTCTTCAGCGCGCTGGACCGGCGGCCAATCAGATTGGTCCTATGACGGCCGTACTCGTTACCGGAGCGTGCCGGGACACGCCGCTGGCCTCGGGACCAGCTGGTCCTATGACGGCGGCACTCGTTACCGGAGCGCGCCGGGGCGCACCGCCGGCCTCGGGACCAGCTGGTCACATGCAATTCAATCTCCTGCGCCGGAGCTTAACGTGGTGGAATTTCGTTGGATCGTAATGAACTGATTGACGCTGCTGTACGGAAACAAAGCATGCAAGCTGATGTAGGTATTGGCCTGTGCACTTCTAGGTAACTGTCCAACAGGTTATCGCTGTTGCACCGCTTTGTCTGCACGATAGAGAAAAGGCCAACCAAAATATTTCAACCAAAGACCAAAAAGAAAAGGAAAAAATTAACAATGACGGCAAGACGTCAGCAGCCTGTTCCACAGGAAACTTGACAAGAACGAGTCGGTTCACTGGGTGAAGCGGACCAAACATCTGCTCATTTGTCGAGGTACCCCCAAGCCAATCCCTCCCCAGTTCGCGCATTCCCAGAAAGCCTGCTGCCGGCGGAAAGCGCCGGTTAACTGCGCGCGCGGACCGTACCCCAAGCGACCCGTGCGCTGGGCCGCCGCTTCACAGGCCGGAGCCGCCCGCCCGGGCGCTTCCCCACTCTGCAGGATGTAATCCGGCGACGCTCCATCTGCGGGCGACACCGCCGCCGCCGGACGGCACGTGCGACACTCCACCTGTGGGCGACACCGCCGCCGCCGGACGGCACGTGCGACATTCCATCTGCGGGCGACGCCGCCGCCGCCGGACGGCACGTAAGACACTCCATCTGCGGGCAACACCGCCGCCGCCGGACGGCACGTGCGACACCCCATCTGCGGGCGACATCGCCGCCGCCGGACGGCACGTGCGACACCCCATCTGCGGGCAACACCGCCGCCGCCGGACGGCACATGCGACACTCCATCCACGGGCGACACCGCCGCCGCCGGACGGCACGCAATTATACGGCGCGGCCGCAGCGCTGCTCCCCACTCTACAGGATGTAATCAGGCGACATTCTATCTGTGGGCGACACCGCCGCCGCCGGACGACACGCGCCACTCCATCTGCGGGCGACACCGCCGCCGCCGGACGGCGCGTAATTATACGGCGCGGCCGCAGCGCTGCTCCGGGCTGTATCCCGTCGGCTCGTGGAGCGTGTGGTATGTATGCACTTCCTCTCAGAGCTGGAGCCCTGCGCCATATCATGGCTGAGAGGAGGAAGCCTACACACCATCACGAGCGGGGTGGAAAACAGCGGTGCGCGCTAACGACCAATGTGGTGGCAGCATCCAATATGAGGGGCATAAACCGCTTGTGCGCATTAAGAATTCAGGGGGCGCACGCTGCACGTGCGCAGGATTAAGACGTCTTATGCGCCACGCAGTGCTAGACGTGATAATGCCAAGAAGCTAACGTGCGATGATGTGTCGTGGGTCAGTATCGCAACCCATGATGTTCGCAACCACCGCCCAATTGAAATCGACGAACCCTTCAGCGATTGGAGACTGGTCAAAAAATCTCTGCTTCACTAACGCTATGGTTCACGTCGGTGTGATGCTTATACGGGGCTTGGAGCTCACTGCTCCCATTGGTAAGACCGGAGTAAGCAGGATGACACAAAACAGATAAAGGGTATTTAAAAAATTCAAGGTTAATAAGCACAATATGTCGCACATCTCATACCGCTTGACTCGTGTCAAGTATCTCGTTTAGACGGCATGAATTGACTGACTTCTTCTGCCGTCGCTTCCTACCCTCGCGCGGAAAGGTCTTGCCCCACATGCGATAAATCTGTGTGGAGCACCTCGAACTAATCGCTGGGATACGGCATCGGATGATCGCTACCACAAGCGCTTGTGCTTGCGCTTGTACAAGAGCTTACTCGAGTCACTCTGTCAAGTCTTATTGGACGCGGTTGCAATGCACAGTTGCTTCGTCATTCGGACGGCTAACTTCGCAAAAGAGCCGTTTTGCACTGAAGCCACGACGTTTAAAACACGTCCTGAGTAACCATACGCCCACTGCACGCGCATGGCACTCTGGCAATCAGCCGCGGGGTCTGGGACCACCCTCGCACTGGAGGACAATTCTCCCCCAGCTTCAGTTCCACAGCTCTTCTGTTGTCCTCTGACGGACACTGCATCTTCTCATGTAACGATTAGGAAGCGTGCAATCATAGGCATGTGCGTTACCGTGCTGCAGTTCAGGGTGTATCTAACACGTGGCTACTGCGTGTTTAACCTGCGCGCGCCTGCCGCTCCGCGCCCGACCCGAACGGCGAGGTGAGCGCCACAATATTCCGTTGCCCACTTCCAACTCATGAGGTATATCAGGCTGTCACGGAAAATCGCACGACAAATCACGAAGAGGTTACTCAGAGCCACAATTCGTCCCATATACATGGTCTGAGGACCTGTGCGTAACAGGGCGGTGACAAGCCGGCTGGCCCGGCCACCACGCGTTGTCGGCGCGCCGCCTGCGACCAGCTCAGACGACCCGCGCGTGCCTGATCGAGGAGCTGGACTCTCCGCATCGAGCCAAGCAGCACAATCCTGCCACTGCAACCTTTTACTGGTCCCCGTTTCAGCCCGACTGTGGTAAAACCACTGATCTCAGCAGTTACACCCATCCAGAATCGCCCAACAATAAACAACACATTAAGCTTTCAATCCGCGACTCAGGGCCCGTCCCGTCACAAATTAGCCCAATTCTGCCGCCAGTGCTAGGCCGGGCAGCATTCCGCGGCGCCTTCACGACTGTCGCTTCGGAGGAGCGTTGGAGCGCACGCTTGTTGCACGCGGCTGGCCAGCTGTCGAGCCGGCGCGGCGGCCCGAGCGCCGCGGTCATGCCGGACACGCGCCGCCGTCGACACAGCGCTCGCGGCACGCAAAGTTCGCTGTCCAGATTGAACGCGGCCCGGCTGGACGCCGCGGTTCCG